AGATGCTATGCCACAGTCAGAACCATCTTTCCTCTAAGGACGAGGATTTGTTTAAGGCTGTGCTTCTCTGCCCACTTCCCTGTTCTCTTAGAGTTAGTTATTTCTTAGGAGTCCCCCTCAGCTTCTCATGTGAATAAATAAACGTCTAGTAGGGGTCCAGAACATCCTAGAGACACATCTGAGTCTAGTTACAGACATAACTTTAGGCTCAGGCTGGGACTTTGCTAAAAAAGGTAAAGAATCAAGATGGTATAATCAGGTAACCTAGGGGGAAAAACAGAAGCAGAAAATGTCCTGGAAATGCTCTCTGTAGGCCCATGGTCCCTCAGCTGATACCGGCCCTGGGGGACATCCTGTGGATACCGAAGCCATGCTATCCATGGTTAGCCAATTAGAATCCACTCTGGCAGCAGCAAAGAGCTTGATAAGGTTCTCTGATGGCTCCACTGGAGGCCCCATACCCATGTCCAATCCTTGGATCCTCCTCCTTCAGCCTTGAGATTTCTGATTTCTTTCCAAGCCTGGCCATCTCTTTCCTCATCATTCCAGAATTATCCAAGGTACTCTTTTTGAATCAATTAATGATCCTGTGGCCCACCATTGGCACTGTATTTTGAATCTTGGCCCAATTTTACTATCTACTTTGATGATATCTGATGACACTGTCAGTTCAGCCTCAGATTGCCTCTTTATCAGGTCATCTTAACCCAGGTATAGCATCAATGGGGTAATTCTAGGTGTTCTGAAAAATTACCAACTTAAGACTCACCAGCACACTAACAAGTATAAGCAAGGCGAAGGGTTGTACTCAGTGTTCCAAGGGGAGAGAGATGTATCATGGTGATGAGCACTGTTGCCCTGAGACTTCATGTGGCATTTTCTATGAGTGGAGCTGACATGTGAGCATATGTGTTCAGTCACTTCAATCATGTCTGATTCTTTGTGACCCTATGGACTGTAGCCCATCAGGCTCCTCTGTCCGTGGGATTTTCCAGGCAAGAATACTGGAGTGGGTTGCCATGCCCTCCTCCAGAGGGTCTGCCAAACCCAGGGACTGAACCAGCATCTACTTTATTTCCTGGATTGAGGCAGATTCTTTATTGCTGAGCCACTGGGGAAGCCCAGAGCTGACGACTTAATTGGAGAGTCTTCTGTGTAGGGCCTGTGTGTCAGGTATGATGAAGAACCTGCCAACAACCATCAGAACCATTCCCTGAAAAGCACCGATGGGGTGAGTAGGTGTCTGGGCCACCAAAACTATTGGGATTTTTGGTACTGGGAATAAGAAACTGAACAACTTGAAGAAATAGGCAGCATTAGTTCAGTTCAGTTCAGTTCAATGGCTTGGTCATGTTCAACTCTTTGCAACCCCACGGACTGCAGCCCGCCAGGTTTCCCAGTTCGTCATCAACTCCCGGAGTTTGGTTGGGGCATAAACTTGGATACTGTGATACTGAATGAATTGCCTTGGAAATGAAGAGAGATCATTCTGTTGTTTCTGAGATTTCACCCAGGTACTGCATTTCAGAGTCTTTTGTTGACTCTGGGGGCTATTCCATTTCTTCTAAGGGATTCTTGCCCACAGTAGTAGATATAATGGTCATCTGAGTTAAATTTGCCTGTTTTGGTCCATTTTAGTTCACTGATTGCTGAAATGTCGATGTTCACTCTTGCCATCTCGTTTGACCACTTTCAATTTACCTTGATTCATGGACCTAACATTCTAGGTTCCTATGAAATATTGCACTGCATATCCATCTCTATTTCTCTCATCTTCTTTTCTCTTTTGAAATTAGGGCTTTCAGAACTAGAAGAAATCAGAACCATTTTGTTGTTGTTGTTTAGTCGCCAAGTTGTGTCCAATTCTTTGTGACCAGAGCCACTTACAGATAGGGAAAAAAAGAAATGAAGAAATGAAAAAACAGGATTTGGTATTTGAGCCTACAGCTTAAGATAACAGAAGGATGATCTGGGTTTGGAATGCTGGTCATAAAAGCCAAGAGGAATGTATGTGAATGGGACTTGCCTACTAATCAAAATACTTTAAACTGAGGGAGAAAAAAGTATCAGATAAAATTCTATGAAATATATGAGTGAATAAAAAATTCTTATGTCTTGAACTAGAAGTCTTTTTGTGAAAGAAGTTGTTTTAATTCAGGAAAATATCTACATAAGCAGTTTGATATTGAAGGTAGTCTTCTTTAGTAATATTAAGAATATAGTATGAAGCAAGGAGAAAAAAATCAGCTAAAGCTTTTGTACACTGGGCTGGTTAAAAAGAATCTGGGACATGTGGGGGAAATTTGGGAAGAAAGCAGAAGGTAGAGAGGCAGCAAGGTAAAGCAACACATCAGGGTAGATGAAGGAAGCGTGCTTCATGTTCCTTTGGAGCTGTTTCTGCCGTGCTCAGAAATGCCTTGTGTGAGTGCTTTCCTTGGAAACCAAGGATAAGAACTTGGCTTTAAACCTGGGTTATGTGTTTTGACAAGGGGAAATGCAAACAAAATGGCAAGATGGCCCATAAACTGAGCAAAAGCTCATAGCCAGTCTCTCAGGCAAAGGAGACAGAAACAGACATACAAAGAGGGAAGAAGAGATGGTTAGGAGTCTGAGCACCAGCAGATGCAGGAGAGAAATAAGGCAAACCTGACATGAAACAGGAAGAGGCAAATTTCAGAGAACTGGACACCTGTTGGGATGGTGCTTGTCCAGCAATGGGAGGATGCAACTGGTTTAAAAGAGAGAGAGTGATCTTACACAGGCAGGGAGGAGTCACCCATGGCAAGCAAAGAACATGAAAATTAATGAACTTGAGGGTGAAAAGGGTAGAAAATTTGGATAATGAAATAAGAAAAATGATAAAGATTGGTGCTAATTTTTTTTGCTTTTTATCTATTGGTAGGCATCATCAAAGTATTTACTTGCAATATCTCATTTAATTTTCACTATAATGTTTTCATCCCAATCCCAAAGAAAGGCAATGCCAAAGAATGCTCAAACTACCACATAATTGCCCTCATCTCACACGCTAGTGAAGTAATGCTCAAAATTCTCCAAGACAGGCTTCAACAGTACGTGNTCATTGGAAGGACTGATGCTGAAGCTGAAACTCCAATACTTTGGCCACCTGATGCGAAGAACTGACTCATTTGAAAAGACCCTGATGCTGGGAAAGATTGAAGGCGGGAGGAGAAGGGGATGACAGAGGATGAGATGGTTGGACGGCATCACCGACTTAATGGACTTGAGTTTGAGTAAGCTCTGGGAGTTGGTGATGGACAGGGAGGCCTGTCTTGCTGCAGTTCATGGGGTCACAAAGTGTCAGACATGACTGAGTGACTGAACTGAACTGAACCCAGAGAGAATAGAGTGCAGACCCAGACACAAGGAGTCTGCAAAGAGGCCCCACTCCAGGGCTCTAGAGTGGGCTCTTGTCTAAAACTTGGAAATGAATTGTCTAAGGAGACACATGCATTGACCAAACAAAAGACTTTATTGGGAAGTGGTGCCTGGGTGGAGAGCATCAGGGTAAGGGAACTGGAGAACTGCTCAGCCACAGACTGGCTCACAGTCTCAGGTTTTATGGTGATGGGATTAGTTTCTGGGTTGTCTCTGGCCAGTCATCTTGCCTGGCCCCTGTTTGGCCTGACTCAGTGTCCTTCCTGTTGGCACATGCATCTCTCAGCCAAGATGGATTCCAGCGTGAAGGATTTTGGGAGGTTGGTAGGACATATGGATTGCTGTCTCCTCCCTCCTTTGGTGAAAGTCCTTCAATTGTGTCCGACCCTTTGCGACCCCATGGACTATACAGTCCATGGAATTCTCCAGGCCAGAATACTAGAGTGGATAGCCCTTCCCTACTCCAGGGGATCTTCCCAACCCAGGGATTGAACCCGGGTCTCTCACACTGCAGGTGGATTCTTTACCAGTTGAACCACAAGGGAAGCCCTCCTTTTGGCCCCTCCCAAATTCTCTTGGTTAGTTTTCAGCAGCAGCAGCACTGTGTTTCTTTTCCAGGACCTCTTGTTCTGAAAATGTTCATGCAAGTGGTTATTATTGTGCCTGGCCAACGTGGGTGGAACTTCAATCAACAGTTCCCTAACACTTGGACTAACAGAAAATATAGGTGGTATTTCTTTTTTTAAGGTGGTATTTTTAAAAAGGCCTGATCCCCTCATGCAAATATAGGAAAGAAATCATGAGGACTTATAACTCGCCAGTCATCTGCTACAGGTGAAGGTCTTATTGCCCTAAAAGCATGATGTTTGGCAAGTCTTTTCACTTTGTGGCAAATAACACCTCTGAAAAGACAAAGGAGATAAGGAGGAGTGCTACCTCTTGGCATTTTGCACGGTGAGGAATGAGCTTGCTGTTCCCATAATAATGAAAATTGTGGGAACTTTGGAAGAAAGAGATGATGTAACCTTGGAGGTTGTGATAATGAAGAAGAGGGTGCTGGACACAAACATGTGCCCCTGACATCAGGAGGGTAAACATATGGATCAAGCAGGGCACCTTCACTGGCAATCAAGCAAAAGAGAGTAAATTGGCCCTTGTGACTGGAAAGCCCGTGAGTGACCAGCTTCAGGCACCACTGTGGTCAGGAGCTCAAATAAGACAATTATTCTTTTTCATATCAAAGGCCACTTTTCTCTCCCTTCTCTCATCCCTTGGTTTTAGCACTGGCATCTGTAAACGACAGGTGGGAAGGCAACTGCCTATAGTCTCAGATTTATAACCTAGGTGGAAAACTGCCCTTTATGTCTCACAGTCTCTATTTTTCAATGCAAGCCAGGTCTACTATTGGCCTTGATGATCTCATGCTCTGCTCTGAAACCATCACCATTGCAAGATGGAACACATACTGTGGCAGACCCAGCCTGGGTCACTCTTTCACCCAGCAATGGAGGTTGGGTTGAGGCTGGTGGGTAAGATGCAGTTGCATAAAAGGAAACAGGGCCCCTGGATGTAGTGATATCCACTGTAGCACATTTTGAACATTCATAGAGAAGTCTGGTCCAGTAGCTGATGATGTCATGAAAGAAGATAGAATGTTCCTGGAAACAGCACTGTAACAATACAGTCAGAGCTGATCCCAAGGAGGAGGAAATGGGGAACTAGGGCCCCACACCGGGGCCATGAAACTTGCTCCAGGTTGAATTATGACTTTAAAAATACGTACAACCCCTGGACCCCGAAGAGGAGAGCCAAAGAGTAGAGTGAGTTTGTGGGAATAGTGATGGCAAGGCTAAGGTTCAGGATAAATATATCTTTAAAGAAGGAGATATGCTAAGGACAACACAAAGCCTTTAGGCTGTGTTTAGTGAAAGAAAAGCAGTATAAGTGTAGACCCATTGATTGGGCAAAAGGAAATAATGTTAGATAAGAAAACAGAGAAAATCAAATAGGAGTTGAAAATATAGTTCTTCTCCCAAGGATATTAAACTAGAATGAGAAAAGCAAGCAATATGTAGCAGTTTGAAGTCTATGGATATGATAGCCAACTCAGTGGTTACTTCCTCCTTCTTTGTTGGCAAATGGCTGGTTTTTAAAGTGTTAACACCCCTTCACCACGTCTGATGGATAAATTCTGAGTTGTCTGGGACAGTTGTGTGGTTCCACGCTCTTCATCACTGATTGTTCTGAGGATGGGCTACAGACTTCTGACTAATGATATGTGAGGACTGTTCTGTTAAGATTTCTGAAAAAGTGTCCTTGCTTCACCATTGTTGTATTTGCCTGGGATATTAGAAATGAAAAAGCCATCTTTTGACCACGAGGGAACTGAATTGACAACCTGAGGATGGCAGAGTAGAAGGGCAGAGAGGTATCCTTGAAGATGTCATTGAACTACTGAAGTAACCAGTCCCGGAGTCTCTCTACCTAGCACTGCTCCTTTTATGAGGTAATCTATTTTTCTTATTGTTTAAGCCAGTTGAAACCTAGATTTTCTGCTCACTGCAGCCCAAGGCAGTTCTGACCAGCTCAGAGCTCAAGGGAGATGAGGAGATTAGATTAGAAGGGGACAAGAAGCAGGATTCAAATGGGTCCAAGTATCTGACCCAATGACTCATATCCCGAGGTGTGGAAAGAACTTTCCGGTGGGATTGGGAGCCACTGTCAGTAAGTTTTAAGTAATTGTGGGGAATAGAAGGTGGTGCCAGGATCAGGAACTGCACAGAGATTATTCTGATTTTCATAAAGGAGAAAAAAGAGAGTTTCTGGAAACTTCAGACAAATGATTTTGAGGTAGATCCTTGACAACAGAATGGATTAAGAAGCAGATGGTGGGTGAGCATTTAGGAAGGAATGCAATGGTCAGTTGAGAATAAAATGACTTCACTGAGCACAAGTTATTCCAAACTAACCTCATTTCCTCTTTTGATAAGGTTACTATGTTTGTGCATCAGGTGTATGCCCCAAACATTGCAGGTCTTGATTTCAGCTTAGGGTTAACAGCTTCTCTCATGGTTTCCTTGTGGCTAAGATGGTGAAATGTGGGCTGGATGAGAGTCGTGGTTTTGTGTATTTGCAGCTGGCTCAACAGCTGAATCCGAAGTGTTGACTATTGGATGGATGTCACAGCCCATGTGCTGAATGCGGCGGGGGTGGTGGAGAGAAGTCACAAATTGATCTGAGCTTGGCTGAGGGTGAGAGTCTGACACTGTGTGAGAAAGCCTGGGAGGGCCAGGACGAGTTCCAGCAAACCCCAAGCCTGCTGCCCAGAGACTGGGCGAAGGGGAGAGGATCAGATGGATCCAGGATGGGGCAGAAATGAAAAGAAGGGTCATCACAAAGACCCGGAGAGGTGAATACAGACAAGGAGGCAGGTTTCAGGGTGAGGAGCAAGAGGTGGAAGCAGTTGCTTAGAGCGGGAGCCCGAGGTGGTCCCACGGGTGGGTGCGTAGGGAGCCCTGCTCAAGATCCATCTCCTTTCTGCCTGGAGGGGGCTCTGTGTCCGCTCACGGCATTGGGTGTCAACCTTCAGAGAGTTTTCTTGCAGAGTGTCAAGGTCTCCCTTGATCCTGTCTGATTTATCATTAGATGAAAACTCAGGAGGCGTGCTGATCAAAGGTGTAGATGTCACAAATCTGGGAGGGAGAGTTAATACCAGAGGTGACAGAATGAGGACCCCGAGTGGTCCTGACAAGTTGGAATGCTGGGTCAGAAACAGTAAGACACAATTTAACAGGCCTCCATGTAAAGTCGGGGCTTTATGTGCAGAAAAAAAAAAGGCAAATACATAGAGTGGGGGAGACTGCCTTGGCAGGAAATCATGTGAAAAATATCTGAGGCTTTTAAATGACCACCAGCTCAGAATAAGCCAACAGTGTGATGTGATTGCTAGCAGTCAACACAACAGGAGACAGAAGAATGAATGGAAATCCAGTCGTCTGGGCTGGGGGGTGGTTGTGGGGCGTTGCCTCTTTATACCCTTGGTCAGATGTCACCTGGAGTATCATGTTCAGTTTGGGGCACCAGATTTTGAGAAGGGCATGGATAAATTAGAGTGTACTCAGAGACTAGCTAGGACTTCCCTGATAGCTCAGTGGTAAAGAATCCATGTGCAATGCAGAGGATGAAGGAGATGTGGGTTCTATCCCTGGGTCGGGAAGATCCCCAGGAGCAGGAAATGGCAACCCCCTCCAGTATTCTTCTCTGGAGAATCCCATTAACAGAGGGGCCTGGTGGGCTGTAGTCCATGGGGTCACAAAGAGTCAAACATGACTGAGCATGCAGGCACAGAGATTAGCTAAGGTGGAGAAAGTTCCAGAAATTATTTGATGTGAGGAGAATTTGAAGGATGGGAAAGCATTCTGCCTGGAGAAGCAAACACAAGAGGAACTATGAGAGGGATGCATGTCAGTGAGGAGGAAGTTGGTCCATTCTCTGAGGTAGGACTAAAACCCAAGGGAGAAGATATGGGGAAGCCAACCAATACTTCTCTATATGGAAGCTTCTCTACATGGAAGCTATGCTTCCATATAGAGAAAACTTTCCTGATCATTGTAGTCAAGAGAAGTCATGACCACTTATGGATTTCCCAAACATGAGCTGATTTGTGAGGTCAGCCATCATTTCCATGTCACAGATAATTGTTCAAAATGATTAAGAACTTGTATGTGATGTATCCCCAGTGCCTAGAACATTCTTGGTACGTATCTGTCTGATGAGTGCGGTTTGAGAGAGGTTGAACGCCTTTCCAGAGGTCGCACAGATGACCACCTCACTCCATGACAGGCCCTGGAGTGGCTCGCAGATGCCCTGGGCCACCCTTGGGCAGTGGAGCTTGACGTGAGCATGGGTAGGCATGCGTTAGAGGCTTCTGGACTGTGGTGATGGGGGAGCAGGGGGCCTGGAAACCCCTTTCCATTTAGAGGTTTCACTCAGAGTGTTCTAATCCAAAGAACCCCACACTGCTGCTTGAGAGCACGTGTGGGGCGTGGGATCTGTCTTCACGTGTGCCCTGCCAGCCACTGTGGTTGGTGGGATCTTCCCTGGGATCCTCTCAGCTCTCTCCCTAGAGATATTTCTCTTGGGTGTGGATGCTTCTATATCTGGACACCCAGGGTAACATTTACACATACAGAGCTCTAGGATGATAGAATTTCAGCTCACTGAGCTGCCCGGGATATGCTTTTGTCATATGTGCTTGTTGCCAACTTGCATCACAAGTGTGAGTTCTCTCTCCCGCTTTGGCACAGGAAGAAACTCCCTTTCTGCAGAATGTGAATTTGCAGAAACTGAGGCGTGATCCTCTGAAGCGAGGGGCTTCCCAGGTGGCGCAGCAGAAAAGAATCTGCCTGCCAAGTCAGGAGATGCAAGAGACTTGGATTCAATCCCTGGGTCGGGAAGATCCGCTGGAGGAGGGCATGGCAACCCACTCCAATATTCTTGCCTGGAGAGTCCCCATGGACAGAGGAGCCTGGCGGGCTATAGTCCATAGGGTAGCAAAGTGTTGGACATGACTGAGTGGCTGGGCGCACACTCATCTGAAGTGAATTCAAATCTAGGCTCTTTCTTTATAGACCCCCCAGAACAAACCAAGGAAGGTGTTTTTCCATCTTCCTTTCGGGATAAATTATGACATACCTAGAAGGTATTCACCTCTTTCCATCATGATGTGGATGAAGCGATTGGGGCAAAGTTTACAAAATGGACATCAGTGTATGTTTGGGTTAAGTTCTTTTTCTTCCAAGAAAAGGGCAAAAGAAGTCTCGGGTAAGTCAAGGGTCCTGGTTAACACTCCTGACTGGTGGGGGCTCTGGAGGTACCCCCTGCTCGGTGGTGTCTGCCATCTCCACTAGGTGGAGAAAAGGAGTGGTGGCGAGATGTACAAAACCCCAAATCAAAACCACAGTCCAAAGAGCAAAATCCAATTCTAAAGGGAACTTGAAAACTTGAGAAGTAATTTAAGGGAACCACATTAAATACGAGAATGTTTAATGGGGCCCATGTGTCGTGAGCAGAGAAAACAGAGGGCGAGAAATGGGACAGAGGAAACCAGGGAGACAATATGTCTGTGCGACTTGTTCTAATTAGGGGCACAGAACTGCTGAGCATCACTCATTATAATTTGGTTAAATCTTCAGCCGGGGCCGAGGCACCTCTGCTGACTGGTGTGAAACAAAGCGCTCGGTCGGAAACGGGGTGAGCGCCTCTCCGTTGGAGGTTAACGCCAGTCACTGGGGAGGGCCCCGGTCTGTACATCACTCTCCTGCCAGCTCTTCTTTATGACTGCAGCGCCCGGCTCCAGCTAGCAGATGTCTGCACATTTTGGGGAGGAGAGGGGAGGGGTGCAGGGGGAGGGCCGGGGGCCCCTGGAGCTCATTGTCTCCAACGTGTCTGTGGCTTAATTCAGTATCTCTGTCTGCCGCTGGAGCGGGGTGGGAAGAGTTCAAAGGGGGAAATCAAAACAATCCATAGATCAGAGCTCGCGAGTGAGCTGTGTTGGCACCCAGGAATCATCAAGCACTCCTCTGGCTCCGCTTTTAAATGTGGAGGCCGGCAGTGATTCAGGGGGCCCCCACGGCAGCAGCACGTGGAACGCTTCCTGGGGGGTTCACTTTGTTTTTTGTTTTTGTTTTTTAAAGGAGAAGGTAGCCAGAGGCTTCAGGGGAAGTGGGTGGTGTGGGGTCAGGTTCAGGTTTGTCCCAGTCCACAGGCATTTCAGTTCAGAGCTAGGGGTGATGTAGGGATGATAAGAAGGACCTGAGATGTGGCTGACACCCCACCCCCACAAAACACATTCTTTGGGCTTTGGATTCTGCAACTCAAGTCCATGTGGCTTAGGTGCTTTGTCCAGGCCTCTTGCCAAGCTCTCAAACTTGGGAGGGTGCCATTTGTGTGTTGTAGACCTTTTCTTTGTATCCCAGGGCCCAGTCAACTTGCTGGCTTGCTGTGGCAAAGACAGGGCCTGTGCTAGCCTCTAGGGCATCTTCAGAGCAAAGTGCTCCCTGGAGATAACGGCAGAGCTTGGCCAGGCTGCTGGAGGCTTCCTGTGACCCGATACAGCCTTGATCTGGGCACACAGCTTGTCAGTGGAAACTCAGGTTGAGTTTCTCCACATGCTTAACCCTCCCATCAAGTGTCTGAGCAGCAAGTGTCCATGTTGAACACCAGCCTGGGCATGGACAGCCTACCAGTTCAGCACCTTATGCCAGCCACACTTGTGCGGCTGAGCCCTAGATTCCTTCCTAGCTGTTAGGTCCTATGCCGGTCCTTGACTGGCCAAGATTCATTCTGGTGAGAAAGAGCTGCTTTATCTCCACCCTTACATGGTCCATCTCAAAGCAGATGCTATTGACCCGGGTGGGGACCAAGGCCAAGAGTGTCGGAGTCGAGGTGATTTGCCCCCTGACTACTAAAGCAAAGGCACAGTGACTCCTAAGGGTGCAACAAACGCTCCCTTCCGTGTTTCCACCTCCCTGGGTGTGCTGGATGCCTCTTCTTCAGCTCACTCGTCCAACGTTCCCACCAAACTGTTAACTCTGCAAAGGCAGGGCCTGGGTAGCTCCTGTTCACTTGTATAACACGGTACCCTACCCACTGCCAGATTCAATAAATCCCCACCTCTCCACATGCAAGGGAAAGCACATTCTACTACCTTGGCTCTGATTTAGCTGAATACTTGTAATTTAATTCATTGGCAATTTATTGAGCATCTGCTATGTGCTATCTGCCAACGACATAGAGGTGATTAAAAAGAGTTCCCGATCCTTAAGAATTCACATTCGGGGGTAAAGTGAGATGAGGGCTCTGTGGAGAGAGCAGATGAGGACACTGCTCGACCCCAGCATGCTTAGGGGTCCCAGCCGAGGGCACGGACCAGTGTGAGACCGCCCCACAGCAGCTGGGGTCCAGTGGGAAGAGGCGTCTTGCCTGGAAAACAGTGCTCCGTATCAGGCATGTCGCAATCAGCCCAATGCTGAGAACCCAAACGTCCTGATGATAAGACGTGTCTGGTTTCTCTGAAGATTCTCAAAGGTCCTCGTCTGTTAACCCAGCCTCCAAAACCATCCTAGTTCTTGAAACACAACACCAGGACCTAACCCCACAGGCTGCTGGATTAGCGAAAAGAGCCCGATATACGGGTGTCTTTGGGGGAAGGAGCAGAGTAAATGTTTTGCTGCCTCCTCCACTGGGCATGTCAACAGAAAGACCTTAACTAACACATCTTTCGCATCTCTAAGGTTGGTTCAATCTTGGGCTCCCGTGAAGGAATGAACATGGGGGAAGGAGTGGATGCACAGTGTATGCTCCCATATACACCACAAGCAGAACCTGAGGGGCTAAGGATCAGAAGTTTTTTCAGCTTCAGAGTTTTCTCCTCTGTAAAGAGAGGAGACGGGGTCGGTCAGGAAGCTTCCTTGGAGCAAGGGAAGTGTTGACCGGTGTCACGACTGAAAGTGTTCTGGCTGCTTGATGAGTCAGGGCAGCCGACATGCATAGACAAACCCACTCACAGGCTTTCCTGACCCTTGTGCTGCCTGCAGACCGTCACAAGCAAACCTCACCTGGTCTGATCGCATTTCCTGACACTGTGGGCTGGAGGGATATGTCCATGTGGTCTTCTGACATGTATCTAGCATCTGTTGTTTGTTAGGCACAATGCTGGCCACAAAGGAACCAAACATGAGGAAGCTATGTTTTCTATCCTGTACAGGCTCATATGCCTGGGAATGAGACTGTGACATCAACCGATAAGCAAGAACTTTCACACATTTGCATTTTATTTGCTGCATCTCTTTGTGAATTTCTTGAGGATAGACAGGGCTTAGAAGTCCTAAGAGCTCTGGCTCCAAAGGCAGGCTGTCTGGTCTCTCTCCCAGCATCACTTTGTGTTGCTGAATGAGCTTGGGCAAAACACATTCATCTCTCTAAGCCTTGGTTCCTTCAATCATAAATCGGGTCTGATAACAATATCCTTCTCAAAGGGCTGATCTAAACAGTAAGTGCAATAATGCACGAACGATACCTAGTATGCAATAAATGCTCCACAAATACTGACGAGTATTATTTTCCAGTTTCTTTCATCTCTCTTTTGCAGCACCTCCAAAAGTTCTCTGCAACTAAATGTTAGAGGCGTGATTTCAGAAGCAATTAGTTTGGAAAGACACAGAGAGCCCCAAAATTCTTGTTGCTGTTTTTGGTTTAGTTGCTAAGGCAGGTGGGACTTTTTTGTGACCCCATGGACTGTAGACCATCTGTCCACGGGGTTTTCCAGGCAAGAATACTGGAGTGGGTTGCCATTTCTTTCTCCAGGAGATCTTCCTGGCCCAGGGATCCAATCTACATCTCCTGCGTTGGCAGGCAAATTCTTTACCACTGAGCCACGTGGGAAGCCTGGAATTCTGATAGCACTTGGAAATTATACTGCACCATCTAGGATCATAACTACATATTAATTCTGCAGACATTTGTTGAGCGCCTAGTCAGACTCTATGCTACACAATGTAAGGCAGACAAGAGAACACCCCCAGACATGTGGTTGCTTACTCTTAAGAAGCTCAGATTTCAGAAGGGGAGTCATGTGAGCAAGGAGATTTAATGTCCTGGAGCAGCTGCTATGATGGCCATCCATGTGGCAGTGGTTGGAGATACAAGGAGGGAGGGACCAACCTGCTGGGGTGGGTCAGACAGGGCTTCTCAGCACAGGAGACTCTGAGCTGCATCCTGAAGACCAAGGAGGAGTTGGCTGGTTTTGTGCCTGGAGTCACTCAGAAAGTAGGAAGTTCCCCCTCCTGCACCTGTCTTCCAGCCATGCTGGCCAGGAAGCAGCGCCCAGTAGTATAAAGACCCGGGGGAGATGGATTCTGCCTTGAGCTCTGATAGTGGCTTCCTGTGTGGCTTTGAGCAAGTCACTTCCCTCTCGGCCCGAGGTAGCTTGCTGGCCTAGCTGGCAGGAGCCTCTCAGATTGGATTCACTCATCTGGCGTCCAAGAAATATTGTGTCCAACAAGTGCCAGGCCTGGTTAAGTGCCAGAGGACCAATGGTGAGCTGGCTACCATTAATGGGTGGCCGAGAACTTAATCCTGTGGGGAAAACTTGGAGAAACTGTAAAACAGAAGCACAGAGTTATCCTCTGTGCTGGGATAGAGAAGCAAGGGAGCTGGGGCATTTATATGCAGACTCCCATCCATCGTTGGTTGAGAGCTGTTGGTGTGCGGTGCAGTGGTAGGGTAATTAAACTCTGTGTCCTTCACACAATCAGAATGATATTCCAAGACTGGAGGATGTTGATGGAGGTGCTGTGATACATGCAGTGAAGGAAAGGAACATGACGATGAGAAGGGGAAGTCTTGGTAAGTGCTAAATCCTATTCAAGGGTAAGAAATCTTACTGTTACCAACTATATTCTTGAACTTGACTTTCCTTGAGAGCTCCTTGGTGTAAGTGGCCTGTGTGTTTAGATCCATGGTTCCTAACTGAGAGTGATCTTGTCCTCTGGGGAACATTTGGCGACTTCTGGAGACATTTTTGATGGTCAGGAGGCAGGGGTAGGGATGCTACTGGCCTCCTATTATGTGAGGCCAAACATCTGCTAAACATCCTGAATGCACAAGACATCTCCCACCACCAAGAGTCACCTCCACAAATGTTAATAGTGGCCAAGACTTGGTTTAGGGCTGCAGTTTTCCAATTGTAACTTATTCTGGTCCACCAGGCAGATGAGAAAGTTGCCTATAATAGTGGGGAGAGGGAGAAAGGGACAAGGAAATTAGGGAGAGTGACTGGTCTGTGGATGCAGGAGGAAGAGTAATTTCTGCTCCTGGTGCAGCCTACTTACTCTGTAATCTTACTATGGGAAACCTGTCGTATCTGGAGGAGGAACTGAGTTTCGGCTTCTCCTTTGTCACCTGGGTCCTGTGATTCCTGAGTGTGTGATCAACAGTGACTGGAAGGGAAAGGGAAGTGTGCGTGATTACCCACTGACCCAAAGGGCTAGGAAATGATCTCAGAGCTTGGAGGCAAAGGTGAATTTTGCTGGCAGCTTGATGGAGTGTGTTGCCATGGGTGTGGGGCTGAAAGCCCCAAGCGGTTAGGTATAGAAGAGGCATTCAACAAAGGCCCAAAGCTTCCAGGTGACAGAGTTTGGGGGCAGAGAGTACAGATCCCGGGCCATTTTCTGGGGCCGAGTCCCTGTGTTAGTAAACTTCCCCTCCCCACACCCCCATCACTTAGCCACCGTAAGTCTGAGCAAGTCATTCGATTTCTCTGAACTGTAGTTTGTCTTCATCTAGAAAATGGTGGAAGTCATGGGGTTATGGTTGAATATTAGAGCAGATAATCCATTGTGTGTGTCTGGTTTTAGGATACATACACGTTAGCCACCAGCCTCTTGGCAAAGTTGAGACTTGGCGTGAGCTTGTCACTAAAGAAATTGTTACTAAATTGCACTGAGGTCCTCAGGATTGCCAAGAAACACGACATAAGATCTGAAAGTAGAATGATCTCTCCTGATTCTCTCTTTTGCAAATGTCTTGCTCTCAAGTGGAGAAGGGCTTCAGAGCTTCCTTATCAATGGAGGGGAGGGGAAGTGATGCCATGAGGCCTTGCCTGGCTTTCTTGGGAGGCTCCAGCTTGTAATCAGGTCCTGTGTTGTGAGGAAGCCCAGGCCTCATCTCAGCAGTCTCAGCTTTTCAACCAAAGAACCAGAAGACAAGAGATTGGAATGAGGGTTCTTTCTGGAGGAAGGAGAGGGCAGAGTTAAGTGCAAAGATCTCACCATGAACACACGCAGTATCTCTGAAGTCTCATTTATTTCCTTAAAGATCAGTGTGGGGTTTTCATCGGACTCTGTAATAAATCTCTTTTAACAGAAAAACAGTGTTCGAATGACACAGCTGTCTCAGCTGCGCCCTGCTGGCTTGTGGCTTTAACGCCTCCTTGGACACTGGTGTGCACCCGGGGGCCACACGCAGATGAGTGCCCCGCGCACACCCCCTTCCTGCTTCACTCTCCCGCCGCATCCTCGTCCTTCTCTTCCCTCGCTTGCCCTGTCTGGTCTTCCCCATCCCCAGCAGGGACACTATTGGGTGTTTCTCAGCTTTCACTGTGCTGGTGGGGTTCAGAGCTGGAGAGAGAAGTCGCTGCCCCACCCGGGGGTGGCATCTCTCCCCCAGCCTCACTCCCCCTCCCCTGGATCGGTGTGCCCAGCATGATGCCTTGCCCTGGGCATGCCGTGGGGAGCAGGGCGGGCGAGTCCTGTCCTCGTGGGGCTTGCAGTGGGGGAGCAGGCAGGCAGGCAGACGTTAGCTGCCTGATCACAGAAACAGCGCGCAGGGGAGAGAGATTTCCAGGATGTGAAGAGGCGTGAGGCAGGGGTGACTAAGGGCGCCCAATGTCAGGGAAGGCTGCCCGGGAGAGTGCCTTCTGAACTGAGAGCTGCAGGCTAAGGAGGAAGGAGACGCAAGATCTGGGTGGAGAATAGTGTGACCAAGGGCCGTGTGGGAGAGAACATGGAGGCTTTTTGGATCTGAAGGAAGCTCAGCCTGTCTGGAGGTGAGAAGGACAGTGTCCAGAGATGAAGCTGGACTCCAGGAAGTTCGTCAGAGCCCTTCGTAAGTCAAGGAAACAGTTTGGGTTTTATTCGGAGGCCGTGAAAATCACCAGAGACAGTGTGTGTGTGTGCATATGTGCTTGCCTGTCTATGCGTGTGTGTCTTTGTGTGAACATGGGTGTGTGTGAGAGAGAGAGAGGTAACAGGGAGAGCATCTTCTGGTACTGCCCCTGGAGTTCTGTGGTCCAAGTGGGAATCTCCTGACCAGTGGGAACATAATGAAAAAATAAAGAGGCTGGTATTTCATCATTGTTGCCAGATGCTATTAAGGACAACACAGACCCAGTGAGTCAGGGAACAAATGCAGATGAATCAGAAGGGATGTGTGGAAAACAGCATGGTTTGGGGTGACAGGGTTAATAGTCTTTGGATGCTTCCTGCGGTGAACTGAGTGCTCAGTGAGCATTGACCATTCAGGGGCCTTTGGGGGCTACGCAGAATTGCCCAGGTTCCCCTGAGCAGTCTCTGGAACTGTGGCAGGATGAAGGAACTCGAGCTAAAGATGCCAGGTCCACAGGGAACTGGTTCAGACCAGACAGTTACCCTTCCAAGCCGGGGGGCTTTTAGTTGTTCTTCAGTCTTCCAGTCGTGTCTGACTCTTTGTGACCCCATGGACTGCAGCACACCAGGCCTCCCCGTCCCTCACCGTCTCCCAAAGTTTGCCCAAGGTCGTGTCCATTGCATCGGTGATGCCATCCAGCCATCTCATCCTCTGACACCCTCTTCTCCTTCTGCCCTCAGTCTTTCCCAGCATCAGGGACTTTTCCAATGAGTCAGCTCTTGGCATCAGTCAACCGCGGGGCTAACCCATCACCAAACAGTTAGCAGAGGGAAATGGTGGGGACAGTGTGCAGGGAGGCGTGGATGGCATGGGGAGAGAGGGGACCACTCCTCTCCCCGAGGTTCCCAGGGGTGGGCCTTCTAGATGTGTTAGCTGTGGGAAAGGGACAGCCTTCTACGACCTGACAGGTGTTCCCAGCTAAGCCAGTGTCAGGCATTGGTTTATCTATTCCTCTATTATCCCTACACTTCATCTGAAAAGGCTGGGGCTCTGATAGACTGAGATGGGAGTGGGTAAGTTTTAAATGAGCAAGCAAGTTAGGAAAGATACACAGCATGAGATTGTGCTCTGGGAGCCTTGGGCGTTGCTGTAAGGCCATAAGGAAAGGTTCCTTCATTCATTCAAAAAGTATATCAAGTGCTGTGGCAGATGGTATTCTCCCAAAATGGCCACTGAACATGTGGACCTCTCCCCAAAGGCTCACATGTTCTTCCAGAATATTGAACTTCTCATCAAAAGGCAGAGTCTGTTTTCCCTGCCCTTGAGCCTTTTCAAGTGTCTAAATAATAGAATGGACTTCCCTGGTGACTCAGTGGTAAAGAATCCACCTGCAATGCAGGAGACCGGGGTTTGATCCCTGAGTCAGGAAAATCCCCTGTAGGAGGACATGGCAACCCAGTCCAGTATTCTTGCCTAGAGAATCCCATGGACAGAGGAGCCTGGCAGGCTAAGTCCATGGGGTCGCAAAGGGTCAGACAGGACAGACACGACCGCAGCAATTTAGCACGCATGCAATTAAAAGAATATAGAGGAAGGGGAGGGATTCCCTTGTAGCTCAGCTGGTAATGCATCTACCTGCAATGCAGGAGACTACAGTTCGATCTCTGGTTGGGAAGATCCCCCGGAGAAGGGAATGGCTACCCACTCCAGTTTTCTGGCCTGGAGAATTCCATGGATTGTATAATCCATGGGGTCACAAAGAGTCAGACATGACTGAGCAGCTTTCACTTTCTTGAGAGGGAGGAAGAGGTGTTGTTAACCTGGGTCGTAAAAGGCAATATGGGTCTGCCTGGCTGTCTTGGGATGCTCTGACTTGGAGTCCAGGCATCATGCTGCACAGAAGCTTAGGCCACACAGAAAGGCCACATGGGAAATGATGTGGCTGACAGCCTCACTGAGATCTTAGCTGGCAGCCAGCATCAGCTGCCAGGGTGACGAGCGAGTGAGCAAGTCTTCATATGCTTTTGGTCACCAGCCCTGGAGCTGCTCCAGCGGACACTGAGTGAAGCAGAGATGAACTGCCCTTCCTGAGTCCTAACAAATTGCAGGTTTGTAAGCAAAATACATGTCGTTGTTGTTTCAAGATACTAAATGTTAGAGTAATTTGTTAAGCAGCCACGGTAACTGGGAAAACCACCTGCTACAAAATACCCGAGAATGACAGCTAACATTTGTAAAAAGCACATCGGAGTTTACAAAAGATATTTACGAAGTGATCTCAGCCAGACCTCTGAAGGGCCCTGAGGGGCGGGGATTGGGTCAGTTTCACGGGAGAGAAGCTGAGACTTGAGTGAATGGCTCAGAGGCAGGTGTCTAGTAGCCAGCAAAGGAGCCAAGGGCTGAATGTGTCCTGGTGCATGTGAGCAAGGCCCAGTCCTAGGGGCTGTGAGGACATCTGAGATGGAGCAAACACGGGCCTGTACAGAAGCATCTTCCGCATGGTGGAGGTGAGTTAAGCCCAGGAGTGACCGCACCACACTACGGGGTATGAAGTGCTAGGTTCCTCAGTAGCTGAATTCATTCATTCATTCATTAAAATAGCAATTATTGAGCCCCTGTCATGTACCAGGTACAAATCCCTGCCCTGGATTTTCACTCTAGTGAGATTTGGCTAGATTACTGCTATGGACTGAATTATATCCCCTTCAGTTGAAGTCTTAACCCCTAGTACCTTAGAAGGTGACTGTATTTGTAGACAGGGGCCCCAAAGAGGTGATTAAGATAAGATGAGGTCATAGGTGTGGATCCTAATCTATGAGCCAAGGAGAGAGGTCTCCAAGGAACCCAACCCCGGCAATGCCTTGATTTTGTGTCCTGTAGACTTGTAGCCTCTAGGACTATGAGGAAATAGAGTTCTGTTGTTTAAGTCACCAGACTCTGGTTCTTTGTTATGGCCGCCCTGGCAGACTCTTACAGTTGCTGATGGAGCTGGTCATGGGTTGGACTACTTCTTCCAGAACAACAGGGCAGTTGGAATTTGTATTTTTTTTTTTTTAAAGGAGGGGTCTAAAGATACTACACTGGGGTAAGGGCAGGGTTGGGGGAGTTAGCTAGAGGTAGGGGGTGGGGTGGTTTACAGAATTAGGGGCAACAAAAAACCACAACTTTATATAATCCTGTTGTGTAATTCTTTTCGAGTAGAGGTGGGGATGTTTTGAGTGAAGCAGAGATGAACTGCCCTTCCTGAGTCCTAACAAATTGCAGGTTTGTAAGCAAAATACATGTCGTTGTTGTTTCAAGATACTAAATGTTAGAGTAATTTGTTAAGCAGCCACGGTAACTGGGAAAACCACCTGCTACAAAATACCCAAGAATGACAGCTAACATTTGTAAAAAGCACATTGGAGTTTACAAAAGATATTTACGAAGTGATCTCAGCCAGACCTCTGAAGGGCCCTGAGGGGCGGGGATTGGGTCAGTTTCACAGGAGAGAAGCTGAGACTTGAGTGAATGGCTCAGAGGCAGGTGTCTAGTAGCAAGCAAAGGAGCCAAGGGCTGAATGTGTCCTGGTGCATGTGAGCAAGGCCCAGTCCTAGGGGCTGTGAGGACATCTGAGATGGAGCAAACACGGGCCTGTACAGAAGCATCTTCCGCATGGTGGAGGTGAGTTAAGCCCAGGAGTGACCGCACCACACTACGGGGTATGAAGTGCTAGGTTCCTCAGTAGCTGAATTCATTCATTCATTCATTAAAATAGCAATTATTGAGCCCCTGTCATGTACCAGGTACAAATCCCTGCCCTGGATTTTCACTCTAGTGAGATTTGGCTAGATTACTGCTATGGACTGAATTATATCCCCTTCAGTTGAAGTCTTAACCCCTAGTACCTTAGAAGGTGACTGTATTTGTAGACAGGGGCCCCAAAGAGGTGATTAAGATAAGATGAGGTCATAGGTGTGGATCCTAATCTATGAGCCAAGGAGAGAGGTCTCCAAGGAACCCAACCCCGGCAATGCCTTGATTTTGTGTCCTGTAGACTTGTAGCCTCTAGGACTATGAGGAAATAGAGTTCTGTTGTTTAAGTCACCAGACTCTGGTTCTTTGTTATGGCCGCCCTGGCAGACTCTTACAGTTGCTGATGGAGCTGGTCATGGGTTGGACTACTTCTTCCAGAACAACAGGGCAGTTGGAATTTGTATTTTTTTTT